TATATATATATATATATTAAATGTTAAAAAATATTTAAAATTCAGTGTTTGCTTTATAATATGAAAAGTTTTCTCCTTGATGTTATCCATATGTCATTAAAAAAAGTGTATCATGTTTTTCAAAAAATGTCATTCTTCAAAATTAAAATATTTGGGTTTTTTGTTTATTTGTTTGTTTTTTCTCCCAATCAACATGTGCTTTTTCCCTTTGTATCAATCTTGTTTCCTTTGTATCTTTGGGGATGAAAAAAAAAAAGTTTAACTGGATATATCTGAAACTTTTTGATTGAACATGTATACTTCGGTTGTATAAGCTGATTTTTAGAAATCATGACTAGTTTTTGGTTTATCTTTACTAAAGAAAATGGACAATTTTTGTAGCAGAAATATGTTTCTAAAATCCATACTAAAATTTCTGTCTTGACTTCAGAATATAAAACTTTCATTTTTAAAGTGTACACTTTCCAAATGAGTAGGCTGAAGAGCTAGTGTTTCTGACATTGCCTACACAAACCTGCCGTGTGATATGGCCATTGGACCAAGGCCCAGGCTAAACAGGAGCAAAGCCAAAGCAGCACAGCACCTGATGTCAGCAATTTCTGGTGATAAATTATCTATGTCCTGGGAATCTGGGGGCTTGGTTTTTTTTCATATTTACATATTTACACACGATTCACTGGCCTTCCTGTCACCTTTGGTTCAGAAGCTCCATTCATATCCTTTTCTTAAAAAACTTTAGCACCTTTCATATAAACAACAGATGGTTTGTTTTTAAAAGGCAATGTAAATTTTGAAGTAAAAATTTTTCCTTTTCCATACAGTCTTTGAAATGTTTTAAAGTGTTAAAAATTCATGTTGGCTTCTATCTGCTTATATGAATGGTGAATGGTTTGATGTATGATATTCTGAATTATTTTTGTAGGTAGACTTTCCTTCCACCTAAGATAAGAGGTTTCCTTATTGTATCTCATAACCCAATTTCACCGGATCTGAGTTTTTCTCATCCCAACTTGTGAAGCCCTTCCTGACAGGTTCCACCTGCTAGTGCAATCTGCCTGGTCACTACAATCGAAGGACTTGACTTCTGGTTTCCAAAAAAGTCGTTGACTCATGTATTGATTTATAAATCTTCAGTTGGAGAATTGACACATAAAGCAATAGGAGTAAACAGCTTGTCTTCATTACCTTCCTCTGGTAATGAATGCCCCACAGCATTTTGGAACTAAAAAGCTTTTCTTATCAGATGAAAAACATTTTTCTAATTCACATAAAAATCATGACTTTATTGTCCTATTTTTCTTTCCTTCCTTCCTTCCTTCCTTCCTTCCTTCCTTCCTTCCTTCCTTCCTTCCGTTTTAAGTTCAGTTTTTCAAAAGGTTTATTTGTCAGAGAAATGAAACCTATAATTAGAGTATGTCACCACAAGGAGGTGATGGTGTATCAATCATAGATGTAATAAGGACTCAGCTATATAGGCGATATTACCTGAGATAGACTTTTCTTACCCATTTTACCATTTGGTTATTCATTCTTTTATTTTTCAACAGATACAACTCAAGACCAAAAAAAAAATATATGATATTATGAAACAAACACTGAATTTGAATAAATGTAGAGAAAACTTTAAAAATGACATCTAGATATAGATAATGACTGTCACATTGATCTTACTTGTTATCTCTTAAACTTTAATCTGACTCTGGTCTTAGCTAGACTGTGTGCAATGCTTATTTCTAACTCATCTTAAATTTTATCTTGGAATTTAAGTTTTATTCTTCTCAAAAACCCTTAGGTTCGGTGATTTTAACCCAAGGACTGGCATGCCATCAAAACTTCATCAGCTGCTTATGCCCAAATGTCAGCCAGCTTGTCATTCTTCTGTGCCTTTGTCACATGTGGGAATGTTTCATTAAAGGGCTGCTTTCAAGGTACCTGCTTTTTCCATTGTTAGAATATCACTGTTCTATTGATTTCTGCATTCTTTTCCTCCATGAGTTTTCAGGTTGTAAGTAACGAGAATCAGTTAACTCTGTCTTAAAATAAATGAGATTGTCTGCAACTATGTAGGAAAATGCTTGGATTGAAAGCAGTGAGTAAGACACAGACTTAGGAGAGACAGTTACGAATGTGGAATGGAGGAAAAGGCTCTGGCACAAGAAACTCTAGTGTGCTTTAGCTTCCCGGTCCGTATAAGGGCAGATGTCTGGATTGACCCTCCCACCAAGACCTTTCCCAGCAAGGGAGAGCTGACTCCATAAAACAAATCAGAGTACTTTAGGAAATAAATAATGCTTGGTGGTCACAAAATGGCAGGTGTTCACGATAGTTCATGCAGTGTTTGGTAGAAGCTCCCATTCCATGTTATCTTTAACATGAAGGTGACTTTGTATCCAGTGATTAAAGAGGAGACTGGGTAAAGCGGAGCAGCAACCCCACCTCTTGGCATCTGGGTTGCCTGAGTCTCATCTGGGCTCTGCTGTTGGCCTTCGAACAAACCGAGAATTCTGGATTGTTTTCCATTCTTCGATAAAATGAAGAGTTTGCCTCACAGGATCCCTTGATCATGCTTCTGTGCCTTTGTCTTGTCAAGCTCTCCTTTCCTGTGAATCTAAGTGAGGAAATGTCCCTCTTCCCAAGGGGTAATTCCCACTGTTACTTTAGTTCAAATGTAATACTTTCTTTTAGCAACACCCCCTGTAACTGTCACCACTGCCCCTAACAAGCCAAGTTCTGAAAAGCTTTGTGTTTTTCACCAGGCAATATGACATTGTGATCTGAAATTTAAAATCCTTTTAAAAGGGCATTGGTCTCTTTGTATCTGTTGACTAAGCCCACACTGCAGCTGCAGTGGTTTTTGACAGACTTACGAGATAAATATAGATACCTGTCGCTGCAGAAGCATGGGAATCTAAATAATGAAACAAGGGAGAAATAAAATAATGCACACTGTATTGCTACCATTTTTCAGAGGCTCCCCTAGATCAGACAGTGATATTTTTATTAAGTTTAGGCTAGTCCCATAGAGGAGTTTCTCACAGGAATGAACCAAAATAAAAGTCACCTCTTTTATTTCTACATAATATGTGATCTAAGTTGCAATGTTTCCAATATCTTGTTTGAAATTTAGACTGGGGTTGACTCAAAGAAAAATCTTAACACTACAGAAGACAGCTAATGAGATGAGTATTTGGAATCCTGGGCCTGAGCAGTCCCATCTGATTCAGCACTTGCAGATTCAAATGTCTGGGGCAGTACAGGATGGATAAGACATTTTTAGGTGAGATTTTTTACATGTGTCACAGACATCCCAGTAAGCAGGACCTGGGTGACATGTCCTATTTCAAGGAAATGGGATTAGAGGTGAATTTTCTCCAACCCCATTTCCTGGTAGCTCTATGGATTTTTACAGTCTCCACCTTTTCCTCCTGAATCAACAGGCCCCAGAAGTCTTCTATTGCCCAGGCTCCACCTTAACCTGTGGTATGATTTAAAGGCAAAGGAACTCAGGCACTTTGAAATTCTTCCCAAAATATTAAATTTGTTCATATTCTCCTACCTAAGCTGAAACATTTTGAAATTCACCTTCTTTGTATTTGGTCATAATAACTTAATTTTCAATTTTAAGAGATAAACATTTTGAGAATATTTAGTATATTGTATATGTTCAGGGAGTCCAGAACAGTTTGTGGGTGGTTATTTATTGAGATCGGCCTCTATGTTCCCCACAGTAGGGAAGAGACATGTTAGAACAAGCTGCAGCTTTCTCTTCAGAAGACAGAAAAAAATTGCTGTGCAAGATACCTCTGTTTGAGTGGAAATGAGTTGTCTGTAATCATTAGTCACTGTTTCCTAGTAACTGTTTTAATAATTATATAAAGTAATATAATCAAGTAATAGTTAGACTCAGAAAAGTTGAAGCAATCAAGTTTTTGTTTCGTTATAACATCCCTTCAAGGGACAGGTTAAGTTTATACAAGAAAAATAAAATGATACAAGACAGATTACCTGATTCCCCTAAACTTGCTGATAAGATCAGACTTTGGTTTCTGGATCCTTGTTGACCATAGTAGAAGGTACTTGCATTGAGACTGGGCCCACAGCCTCTCCCCTCATGGAAGCTTTGGTGCCCTCAGGAGATGGTGTGGGAGTCCTTACATGGTGGTCTCATCGTTCTTCTCTGCTGGGGACAATTCTTCTTCGGTTCTCACTCTAGAATTCTTTTATTCTCCCATACCCCCCAAAATACTTCCCACTGACTACTGCCTGGTCACTGGTCTTCTTTTTAAAGCACGGTTTTACATTGCATCTCAGACGCACATCTATGCCCTCTTGAACCCCTATTCACTTCTGCCTCTCCTGGCCAACCCCTCAGTTGTCTTTAACATGGGGTGTGAGCACCAAAAGACCAGGTCAGATGCAAACTTACAGTAGCTCATCACACCTTTTATTCGGGAACATGATGCCTCTGATGGAACCATTTTCCTAGTGGAAAATGAACCACTGGCCAAAGGCGAGGTTTAGGCTTTTATATGTTACACTGAGAGGTGACTCCATTAATGAGCATGCCAATTTGGGTTATCTTTTCTGGGCCAAATGGAGGGTGTGGGATCAGTGGGTATGGATCAGTGGGTGTGGGGTCAGTGCTCAGTACTCAGTATTTATCTTTACTGGGCCAGGTGGAGGGTGTGGGGTCAGTTTTAGGCTGGGATCAGTGTCTGGGAAAGAATTTGCTTAGGGTGGGATCAAGGCTTTGTCCTCTTCCCAGAAACCATCATTTCAGAATTGATGGATATCTCCTCTCTAGGGCTTGCCTTGTCACTGAGAAAGACAGTGACTCCCTCATTCCTTCTCCCTGGGTCGCAATATTTTGGGGTTGGTCTTTTACTATATCCAACATGGGGACCTGATTCATGTGATCACTTCCTATTCCAACTTCTGCCGGATTGTCAGCATCTACTGACCGTCTACGTGCCAGACCCTTGTGTCAATGGCCATGTGAATGACTCATCTGATTGATGAACTCTATTTCCTGGGCTACCTTAACTTCAAGACTTCATCTCCCTGCCATCTCAGCCACTCACTCCCAGGACCATTTATCACGTCATTATCAGGAACGCCTCCATTTTTACCTCCTTCATTCTACCCTGACCATAGCACCTTATCCCTTAGATCTCATAGAGACCCAGTCTTTATCATTTCTCCAAGGCCACCATCAGGGGGACCATATCATTTATTGTCCAATAGCTGATTACTTTGCAAATCAAAGCAGAAGCTATATCATTTGCACCAGGATGCTCTGGGGAAAACCGGAGCAGTGGTTACACTAGCTATTATATGTCACTGAGTGATCTTCCTTTCCTGACCAACCTCTGGTTGGCCATCTGAGCCAATTTCTCCCCAGCACCTTGATTCACATGTACTCTTCTACTGTGTGGGTCTACAAGCCCTGGTCCTGGGAAACTGTGCTGCCATTTGCCTTTTCTTCCCCTGGAACCCTGCACAGGGATTTATTTAAAGTCCCTTCAAAGGACCATCCCTGATTTTTTCCTTATCTCTAATCACCACCTTTTCTTATCCCTCCAAAAATAGTCCTGCACTTTCACTAGTCTTAGAAAAAAACATCCATCTGCTCAATCCTTGACACATTTCTCTCCCAGCAGAAGAGATAGGAACCTCTTCCATCCAGTGAACTGAAACTCCTTCATTTTCCCATTCTTCACCTTTCACTACGAATTGATTTCTAACATGCCTATTCCTGGCCCCTTAAATCTTAAAAATGAGTACTTGTCCTTCTGCTCAGCCACCTGGGGGTTAGATATGCCTCTTCTTTGCTCACACCAAACCTTGTGCATGTCTCTATCACTCACCTCCCACGTGGTCCTACGATTACCTGAATAGGTGTCAAATCCCCCTGAGCTGGGAAGCTCTTGAAGGAAAGGACTGTGAATTATTCATCTCAGAAGTGTAGGGCCTATTCCTAGCCTTCAATAGGTGTTTTGGAAAGGGTGAATGCTGGCAGGCAGGCAACATCCTTTGTATTCTCTCTTGGTGGTCTGGTTTATAAAGAGCAAGAAAAACAAATACTTCGGGGCAATTTATATTCTTGGTTAATTAAACTAAACAAAGGCAGTTCGCTTTCACTTGTAGGCAAAGTCAACAAATGAAATGTGTTTGTTTTGAAAAGGGACTGAATTTGCAGACTTCCTAAGTTTGAAGTTTATTTTTAAGACTCTCAATGGAGAAATGCATTTTAGCTGACCTGGATGAAAGAGTGAATAGTAAATGAAAGCCTTGCTCAGGCCTTGAGATTTTAAGTTTTTATCATGTTTTGATGTAAGTCTCAATTTCTAGTTTAACAGGTAGATGCATTCTTGCCAGATCTATGACCTGAACAATTTTGGAGGAAGCCCATTCTTTTGGAGTAGATGAAAAATGGTGATATTTTTAGAAAATAATCTGGCTTTAGCACAAATAAATGTGACCAGTTACATCTTGATTCAAAGAAGACATTTCTTTTTTCCAGTGTTATCGGTATCCGTGAATGTCAGCTCTTACAAATAAGAAGCTGTTACTATTCCTCTGTTTGGTTTATTATGTGAAAAAAAATTTATCTCTGGATGATACATTTGTGCTTGTTTATCATTTGAAGAAATATGTGTAGATTAGGAATCAAAGATCTGTGGTTTTTGAGTACAGGACTGAAGAGATAGGGGAGGTGTGGGCTATGATAACAACATGGGATGACATTTTTAATATGCTACAACAAAATAATGTTTTTTAATTTAATTTTTTAAAAATTAATAAAATTCCATTTAACCCCTCATCCATTTATTCACTGAGCAATAACATAGGTCAGATATTATACTAGATGTGTTAGCTTTGTGTCACTCTGAACAAATTATCTGACTAGAACAACTGAGAGAAGGGA